TTATATATATAGATAATGGTAAAATAATAATAATAGAAATATATCTTTATTATCCTTGAGAAAATGCGTCTTACAATAGTGGATTAAACATAATAACAGTAACATTATAACGAATGGGGAGTCTTCTTTTCTCTTTTGTCCACTGTGCCACAGCGTTCAATAAAAACTCTTTCTAAGCAGGGGCGTAATTAAGAATGTTCCATCATTTGGGTGCCCGGGGGGGGGGGACTTAATCTCTATGGGGGCCTCTGCATTTTGCATTGGCCTAATATTTAAAATTTTATGCAGAAAACACTCATTTGGTGCACCCCCCCCCCCTTTAAATCGGGGCCCGGGTGATATTCAAATTCTCATCACCTCTCCCCCACCATCGCCATTTCACTGTTAATGAGATAAAAAAAAAAGAAAAGATAATCCTGCAAATTCACAGATCTTATGAAACTCTAATACGTTAAGTTTGATATGAATAATGTTAGTTTAGGTCAAAGGTTATCTCTTGATTGGCGAAGCCAGATTATTTTCTGTAGCGTTTTACTTTCATCATATAGTCTTTTTTCTATTATTATTACTATTCAACAGATACTTTTCAACTGCTAGGTTTGTGATTAGAGCTAGTTTCACTCTAATAAATACTAAACGTTATCTCTACCATTTACACAGATAACGTTAGCACCGGAAACAGAGAAGAAAGCAGAACCGAATGAAGTTCAGATTTTTGATGCTGCTCCAACGTTTGAAACCAACCGCGGAGCTCACCACGCTACTGGCACGTTCAGTCGCAAGCCCCTGCCTCTGACAATCAACAAGGCAGCCATAGAGAGCAGCGCCCGCAATAAGTTACCACTTGCTGAGGTCAGCTGATAAGATGTTTGAGATTTTTAACTGTTTAGAATGTATGTCAATAGTAGGCACACAATGTCATTCAGCTGTGAAACTAGATGTTGCCTTATTCTCTCTACCTGCGGCGAAGGGGATATTACATTTGAAAAGCGTTGGGGTCGTCACACTTTTTCTAGTTGGTTGGCATTTTCGTTTGCATATCCCACAATTCTTTTATTTCCACTGGCCAGTACCGTGTGAGTCTCATCGCACTAGGGCACCGAGTTGAGAACTCTATTCTCTGATAACACGGACAAGGAAAGCGGCAGTTTTTCTCAGAACCTCTCTGTCTCCGTACAGAGCCAGTTCTTCATGCAAACCAGTTTTTGCTTCACTCATATGGCCATGTTTAGGGTGTAGTGTTGCGCACTCGTATAGGATGTGGTTGACTGTTTTGACGTCGTCCTGACAATGCCTGCAGCGAGAATCGAAGTTTGGTTTAAATTTAGCAAAATAGGCACCAATTGGACAGTGTCCCGTTCTGTACCTAGCGATTGTCACCTGTTCTTCCCTATTCAGCTGCCACCATTCTTCCGATTTTGAGGGCCCTTTTAAGTTTTGCCAGACTTCCCTGCCCGTATTACCATTTTCCCAGCTTTTGTTCCATTTATTTCTTGCCCATTCGTCCACTATCGCACGCGCCTGCTCAAAAGTCTGTGGCTCGTCCACAGGGTCCAGCTTAGTGCCGAACTTGGCTAATGAGTCAGCCTTTTCGTTGCCTTCAATTCCTACATACCTGCTGTGGGGCTCGAAGCTCTACAAAAAGGGAGGCAACTGTCTAAAATAACAATGTTTGATATTTTCAAAGCAATAATTACATTAAATCCTGCTTGAAATATTTAATTACAATGGATACCATGGGCGTAGCCAGGATTTTTTTTTCGGGGGGTTGGGGGGGGGGATTTTTTTCTCTTTTATTTCAAAAACTTAAAATCCATTCTTACTGCCTTACTGGCGCCAACTTGTACTAGGATGTCATCGCAACTCTTAGTATGCGTAATTCATTTTGTCGGAAAACATGTCCCGCAAACCTCATGCGACGCTCTGTCACAACCTTACTAAGGTGTCGACTCCCAATTTGGCATAGGATTTTCCTTGACTTAGACCCGATATCTATAACTGACTCCTAAAATCTGTCCTAGCCATCTTTGTTGAGCCACATTTAGTGATTTTCAAATTCGGCTTTGATTATGGAGCCCCGCCACTGGTAGAAATGTATAACCTCTCTTGAATACTCTCTTGGATTTAGGTGACTGTAGTTTGCTTCAGATTTTAAATCGAAAAGGGAAGTTTTATCGTCAAAATCATCTGTTGTAGATTTTAAACTAAAAAATCTCTGGAGTTGTTGTTTTTTTTCTTAATTCAATACCCCATTTAGTTACGGTCTTAGAATTTGGTAACTGTAGTTTGCCTTACAATAATATTGAAGATAGAGGTTTTCCACCTCAAAACTCTCTGTAGTGGGAATTTTAAACTCAAAAACCATCTGGAGGGGTTTTAAACTTTTAAGAAAAGCCATCTGTAGGAGAGAGCTTTAAACTCAAAACCCCCAATTGGCTTGGCTACGCTCAAATAATTTTAGTGTGTAATTTGCTTTTTTTATATTAAAGAGATATTTTTTTAGCATCAAACCCCGCTGAAAGGGGTTTTAAACTCAAAACCCCTTTTGGCAACTTTCATAGCATTTTGAGTGCGTTATTAGCTTTTTTTTAAATATTGCAGAGTTATTTTGTTAGCTTCAAACTCCACAGGAGGGAGTTTAAACTCAAATTTGCTTTGTTCTTAATATTAAAGAGGTATTTTTACCTTCAAACCCCGCTGAAAGGGGTTTAAACGCTCATAACATTTTAAGTGCATAATTTACTTTTTTTTTTCATATTGAAGAAGCATTTTTAGATTCAAACCCCGCTTAATGGAGGTTTAAACTCAAAACTGAGACGAAACCCATTAACCTACGCTCATAACATTTTGAGTGCGTAATTTTCTTTTTTTTTTAGATTTAAGAAGTATTTTTTAGCTTCAAACCCTACTGAAGAAAGGGGGTTAAACTCAAAACCCTCATTGAATTTTGAGTGTGTAATTTGCTTTTTTTATATTGTATAGGGGGTTATAAAATCAAAATCTTCAAACTGCAAAAAAACCTGGTAGGGAGTTTTAAACTCAAAACCCGCTGGTAGGTGGTTTTAAGCTAAAAAAAAACTTGATAGGGGTTTTAAACTCAAACCCCCCTGGTAGGGGTTTTGAACTCAAACCCCCCATGTAGGGGTTTTAAACTCAAAACCCCCTAATAGGGGTTTTGAACTCAAACCCCCTGGTCTGGGGTTTTAAACTCAAAACCCCTTAGCTGCGCTGGGGCAAGTGATGGTATAGCATTAAAATGTCACCCAAAATAAACAAAATCAAAGCAAAAAATCAATTACTGAATTTCGATCCCCGGGGGGGGGGGGGGGGAATTTCATTTCGGGGGGGGGGGGGGTTGAACCCCAACCCCCCCCCCCCCCCTGGCTACGCCCATGACGGATACAAACCCAATTGAACACAATTAAATATTATTTGTGAAATTATGAGACATTTCAATGATTAGAGACACCTTTCGAAAGAATTTGCTGCTCAAACTGTTTTCTTTTTATACCCTGCAGATTAAAGGAAGAGTTGTGCATCTTGCACGCCATACAGAGGCCAGCTCACAAAAGACTAAGAAATGGTACAAGGGCGACAACTATGTAGACAAGGACTCTTACTCTTGGAGAAACATGCAACTATTCGACGACTTTCAGCGCCACCTCTACACACCAGAGGGAGCAGTGCGAACGTCCTTCAAAAAATAAAAACCCTTCTATGTAGACTTTAGTAGACTTAACACAAAGGCGGGTGGCTGGTTTTAATTTAGATTTCCATGCTGTTAAATCGTCACATATATCTAGCACAATTTTGTAGATCTAGGTATTCTGTTTGATTATAACACTGTCGTAGCTGAAGTGTTTATGTGGATTCTGTTTTGGGTTTGTAGACATCAATTTGAATTTTTAACATTTTTATGAAAGTATAAGGTATAGTCCATTCAGGGCCGGCGTTAGGCATAGGCAAACTAGGCAGCCACCTAGGACTTCCGATTGGTGGGGGCTCACACAGGATTCATGTCATTGGAGAAGAAATAACGAAACTTGACCTCAATGTTATTGCCAGAGGTTTTTTTAATAATTTGTATAATTTTATTTTTTTCGCAGTATATATTTTTTTAATCTTCTCTTTCATTTGGAGCCACCAATTATCTTAGGCTGGTCCTGGTCCCCTACGGCTGGTTAATGGATTAAGGTCTAAAGAAGAGTATTTTAGACTTTTCTTATATTAGAATGTCTTGGACCTAGAGTGAATATTTTTAAATTGTCTCTTTTTTGTTGGGGTTGTTGTTAAACCATTCAGTATTATTAGGTCCTATGTATATTTGTTTAGTAATCATGCATTACATTCTGTTGTTTTTATATTATGGTATGTTAAAAAACGCGTTCTTTTCATTGTTTCCACTGGGAATAGCTGTATAGTAAAACAATGTGACGTAATGGACCTCATTCACCAATCGTAAACAAACAACATTTTGCTACGTTGTTCTCTATATCTTCAATACAAATTACGCAATCCATAAAGGCTGTCACGTGATACGTAATTTTCATTGTTTTATCAATAATATCACGTGGCTAAATGTTGTTCGTTTACGATTGGTGAATGAGGTCCATTGGTGCGAAATTCTTTTACCGAAGATATTGGGAGTTTTCTCAAATATCTCGATGCTTTTGTGGGACCAAGTTGAGGACTTTTCGGTCTTAACATTTAACCTCACGAAGGCTCAAAAAGCAAAAGCATGAATGGTAGGGTATGTCCACGGGAATTTTTAAAATCTAATTCAATGCATTAACCCTTTACCTCCGTAATTATTTGTCCACGTTCTGTCAGAATTGTTCATTTTTCACATTTGCACATTTCACTTTATTATGATGAAACTTCAATAACATGTTTGTATGTAATCAGAAAACGTTTTAGTTTTGGTATAGTATTATTGCATGCTCTTTTTATATAACACAAATTGAAGTTTTATAAAACCAGAAATTAATTTAATTTATTAAAGTCAAATCAACGATGGTATCGTGAATTAGCAGAGAAAGAGTATATAGGCCTATAATAATTTATAATATAGATCGCAAGGTCTGAAAGGGGAGCTTTGCTTAGTTAAAAGGATGAAATGCATGGATGGATTTGTGTATCATTTTTAAAGTCTGAACGTTTCCTTCAAATTTGGGGTTCGTTTTTTAAATCAACGCATTTAACGAAGTATATATATAACATTTTTTTTTCAAATCTCAGTAGCATTGTTATAAATGTCAATGTCAATGCTCTAAACAAATAAAAAATGTGTACCGTATTGTTGAAGTTGTTGCGTTTTTCGCTCTAATTATTTTTTTTAAAATTATTTTTCATCATACTCAACTGGAGATTTTCATAATAATAATCATAATAATAAGGCGAGTCTGAAGATTAAGGAGTGGGTACGTTTTTTTCATCTGGTTACGCAGTCCCAGCTGTGACCTACATATTTTTCCACATCCATTGCAGACATAACCTTTGCCTGCAGAAGGTCAATTTAGGTTTCTTTTCAGGCGGTAGATGAAATGTGTATTCAGCGTCATTAGTATAAATCTCCAGCTGTCTCGTTAAAAAAGCCGCCTTCTGTCAGGTGCTCTCTTCTATGCCGGTTAAATCAAGCGGACGCCTAAGCTGAGAAATTTGCATAAAATGAAAGCAAATCCATATTAAAACAAAACTTTTTGGGTGCATCCGGTGTAGGCTACATAATAATAATAAACAATATAGTATTTTAAATATTTTTTCCATTTTTTTTTTTGCCACTGTTTAATCACATTTTTTAACAAAGAGCAAACTGATGTGCACAACTTTTAATATGAAACTCTCCAAGCAGTGGCTTAGCTAGTGTGTGGGGAGGAGGGGGATAAATTGAAAATCCCCCCGGGACCCCACATGAAGGGGGCCCCCAAATGAGTGTTTTTTTACATTAAAAATTAAATATTACGCAAACAATGCAGGCCCCCCATTAAGGTCAAGCCCCCCCCCCCCCGAGACCCCAAACGATGGAAAATTCCTACCTTCGCCCCTATCTTCAAGAGGAATAGTGGGAGTTTGACTTGATAGCCAGATCTAGGTCTAGTTTTTTAAATATAATGCAGGATATTTAATTTTTCTTTCAATACATAATGTATATCTTCTAAAACATTTTTAACAAATTCTTTAAAGAAATCGTGTGTTAAAAAAGATTGGAGGAAGGAGGGTATATTTAGTCAACTTGTGAAATAGAAATAATATCACCGACTTAACGAATGATGGAGGAGGAAGGTTTACCAGTGGCGTAGCAAGGTATCGGTGGATTAGGGTACAAGCCCTTTCTTCTGGCATTTCCATTTAGCAGATCGAAGTTTTATGGGCGCAAAATACAAATCAAAGTCATCATATATGTATAAGCACATTTACAAAAAGACACGCCAATATCACTTTTAACAAGCATAGTCTTCTTACACCCCATTCAGTAACGAACTCCCAAAAGTAAAAGTCTCAAGACATTCAAAGCATATGTCTCCCTTTCAGATGAAGTAATAGCCATCTGTTTCTGTAGCCAACGATTAACGAGGACGTCATGTGGCCAGCACAAAGACCAACGAATGTTAGAGCTTGGTGGACTCAGAGGCACCCTAAAAATTCCCAGGATTCGAGCTCTGGACCCCCAATCAGCCACATCGACTCCTTTTAATGCATATACGTTTTCGTAAAGTACTTAACAATTACACATTAACGAGCATATACATTAGATGTTAAACAAATTGGGTAAACGTTTTAACATTTTAATTCTTCTAAGCACTTTATTTTTCTTTTTTTTCCACTTCTAAGCCCATTAAGTCCTTATTTTTTTCGTGTGTCCGGGTGCAATGAACCCCCTTCGCGCCTACAGACGCTGCGCCACTGATTCCATCTCGTTCTCACCGGACGTGTCAAATAACTGGACCCATAGCTGCACACCGGTTTGGGAGATCAGGCAGTTTCTTTTTTCGGAGCTTGATATTTTAGAAACAGTACCTCTTCCGGCTCTGTTACAAATAGTTTCCATGTGGTCCAACGTTTCTCAATCATGCATTCGTCGTTTATTCCCGGACTCGAAGGCATTCGCACTTTTAAAGCCTCATTTTGGATGTATGGCGTCAGAAACAAACGTTTAGATACACATTCCTTTAAATGGCATTTATTGGATCAGTGTACGTTTTTCTCTCTCTACAATTGATTACATGATTCATCATATCAGACAGTGAGGTTAAACAAATCTAAACAGTGTCACATTTATTTATAGCAGTATATTTTCATGTGTATATATATATATAAAACAGATTTTGATTCGAAAAAGAAGATATTTACCTAAAACGTATCTATGATAACATGGTAACTTAAAAGAGGCATTGGCATTACTAATCCTTAATAAATGTGTCTTCTTCGAAGAAATTTCAATGCGCTCCATAAAATTGTTTATGGAACTGAGTGGTTATTAGGTTTTTAAAAGACTATCCGCCAAAAATTATAATTTATTAAAATTTATTCTCTAGTAGAATCTGTCATAAAATCTCTTAAAATGTTACATTTTTGTTGTAATAAGTTATTATCTTGTATTCAATATCAATCAGAACTTTGGGTTAGGAACAATACAAATTGTTTAAAATTTCAACTTGATCCGAGAATGGGTGTGGGAGAAATAATGTGAACAATTATATAAAGGAAACAAACCCTACATATTTAGCCATGTACGTGAATACTGTAGGATTAATTTCCATTGTCGGTATCAATCAAAATAATTAACTACCAGTAGTTCAATTGACTTATAGGTTATTTTTTTTTTATTCCTTTCTTATCTACATCAATGAATAATTGTGCAAAGTTTTAAATTGAGAATGGGTGTGGAAGAATTAACGAGTGTAACTTTTTACCAGACAGCGTTGATATAACCTTTGTAAAAAAGAACAATTCCTTTTCTAGGCCTACATTGAAATTCCCTGCTCCAATTAATCTCGGATACCCTCGTGCTACATATATCTAAGGGCGAAAAATGCCAAGTTTTAGATCTATTGAAGAAAAGAGAATTTAGTCTCTCATCGTCCAATACCAAATCTGACTTTGACGACGTGTGTCTGACACAGTTTGCCAGTACGAAGAAATTCCAAAAACCATCTGTTGTTCATTCGACGTGGGCTGCACATGTTGAATGCTGCTCTTTTTTCCAAACCGTAACTTGATCTAGATCTAGTACCGAAAACGCCAGCGCCGGCTGTGGAGACTAATTCAGTCAAAAAGAGAGTTAGGCCTTGAATAGCTATTGTTGCCGTGCCGCCAATCACGTAATGGTACCCATCAACAAGCAGGAACAGACTTGAAGGGCTGATGGGAAGAGTTCGCCTTTGGACCACGTTATCTAGCGTAGTGAACAGTTTTGAATCAGTGCCAGCGTCATCCAAATTTGCTTCATTTTTAAACACGTTGATCATGTGATACAGACCATTAGTTGTAGTTCTTAAACATGTTGAGAGAACTTTGCGCTGGCGGTGATGCTCCAATGCTGCTAATCTATCAGTTGCCAAAGTAAAGACAATGGGGAATAATTTTACAGCTTCTCTGGCTAGGTTGCCTTTTGAAATGCCCGAACTCTGGAAGGGGCTAGAAATCGTGAATTCCGAAAAAAAAACAACCCATTATTGTTGACAATATAACGTGTTACATATTTTTACAGATATTAGAACAAATTTTGCCACAAGTGAAATCTACATATTTGAAATATTAATCTTAACTTAATGATTCCTCTTTTTTCCCCGTCTTTTCAGACCTTTTTTCAGACCTTTTTTCAGACCTTTTTTCAGACCTTTTTCAGACCTTTTTCAGACCTTTTTTTCAGACCTTTTTTTCAGACCTTTTTTTCAGACCTTTTTTCAGCCTTATCGAGGCTTCGAAGTGAAATTGTACCTAAAAGGAGATGAATAGGCTCGGAGTTAAGTAAAGCATGACCACGTCGGAACCGAGTTCATTGAACTTGCGGGAATAAAAGAAAACATCAACACTCACAATGTCATCGGACCGGCAGATGTGGTGTAGATAAAAGAAAAATGACATGGTCTCCCCCGGGATATCCGGTTTCGACCGAGACCACTCGTCATAGAAGGCCTGAACACTGACCTGCAACGTCGCAACCTGTGGGCGGTGGAGACCAATAGCTGGCTGCCACGTCACAGTTCTGTACGTCGCAGGTCAGAGTTGAGCTACTATAACGAGTGGTCTCGATTTTACTCGCTCTCTAGTCCCAGTGTCTTAGCCCTTAGGTTTAAAACCCTAGAACTAAAAACGTGTAAGGGAATTTTATTGGAACCTTTTCAGACCGGAAAATTGCTTTCATTAAGGTCGTTGGATAGACGCTTCAATTGACCTGTGATTTCAACTCTGATGATAATCTCAGACTCTAAATATTGTTTTTGTAGGATGCTTAGAGATGGCCATCGATTCGAATCTCTCAGTGTAAATGCGCCATTAGAAGCTGAGAATTGTTTTAAAAAGTGTCGGTCTCGACAGTAGCAGAGAGTAACATAAAAAGAGCGCAGACTGGGATTTTAGTGTTCCATTCACTAATTGAATGATCTTCATATATATTTCTGAACACATGCAAATATCAAGTTCATACAACGTCTAAAATTTTTAAAATAATCAAAGAAAATACAAAATTAAATGTTGACGCTTATAAAATCTATTTCTGACATTTTTTAAAGCTGAATACATAATACTATTTTGATAATCCCAAACTTTTTAAAAATGTGTTGCAGAAAAATCTTTATCTTAAATGGAAAATTCTTACCTGATATAGCACTCAAGGTTGGTAAATGCAAGAGCATCGCCAAAAGGTTCATTTTTGTTCCGAAATGTCTTTCACACGATCGTTTCATATTCTGTTAAAATATGAAAGCAAAATAAATCGTGTCTTGATAAGTAGCTTATGAAGCCTTATGTCAGAAAAGAGAATGGTAATAATACTGAAAACAAGCAAACACGAAACACTTAATGATTTTGGACACCTCCAAAAAAAAAAAAGCCTAATCCTTTTATCTAAATGCTATAAAGGAGTTTATAATAATAATAAAGGAAAGACAGCTACCATTATTGACATCGACGTACCACTGTCTCATAATTTAAAAAAAACTGAAATGGAAAAGCAAAGAAAATATTGTAGGCTTGGAGATTAAGCGTTAATGGAGGTTATCTAAAATAACAATATACCCCATCGTTATATCAACCGAGGGAATAATAACAACTGACCTCACAGATCTTCAAGGC